TGGAGCCTGCTTCAGATTCTGTGTCTCCCTCTCTCTGTGTCCCTATCCCACTTGTGCTCTCTCTCTCTCTCTTAAAAATAAATAAACATTTTTTAAAAATCTTAAATAGGGGCGCCTGGGTGGCGCAGTCAGTTAAGCGTCCGACTTCAGCCAGGTCACGATCTCGCGGTCCGTGAGTTCGAGCCCCGCGTCAGGCTCTGGGCTGATGGCTCGGAGCCTGGAGCCTGTTTCCGATTCTGTGTCTCCCTCTCTCTCTGCCCCTCCCCCGTTCATGCTCTGTCTCTCTCTGTCCCAAAAATAAATAAACGTTGCAAAAAAAAATTAAAAAAAAAAAAATCTTAAATCTCAGTGTTTCCCATCTTGGCAGAGCAAACATAGAAGCCCAGATAACAGGTCAAATCCTACCTTTGTGAGGCCAAAGGGCCAATTATTTCACCTCCCTGAGCCTCAACTCCTCCCTATGTAAAATGAGAATTAATAAGCCTTCCTTCATAAGGAAAACCACCTAACATATCATCTGGCACAGGGAGGCAGCACAGCGTGTTTTCCTTTCCTTCGCATATGTGCACACTTTGCTTGAAGTCAGCAAGCATATGCTAAGCACCCACCATGCGCCAGACTCTGGGGTAGGTGTTGGGGGGCACGTAACGAGGATGACCCTTCCCTTAGATTTCACAGTAATCTTTCCTGACAGATGTCATCTCTAAAATCAGGAGTAAATCCTGCCTCTGGATTCACAAGTGGATTGCTAACCCTCGGGCAGCCCGTTCGCAGGAAAGTAGCCCTGAGCCAGCTCAGCTTCAGCTCCAGCGACCCTCGCCCAGTGGATCTCGCAGAAGGCAGTGCGCCGATGGGTCTTTACCGCCACCAGCTGGAGAATCGGAATAAGGCCACAGGCAGCAGCCAGGAGAAATTCAGGTACCTGCCGGCGGTTGCCAAACACACGGCCCTAACTTCTCTATCTGCCACGTTTATTCAACAGCTCAGAAGTGGTCAGAGGAAATTGCTGCTGAAATCAAAATTATCTCACCAGAAAAAAAAAAAAATTTTTTTTTTAAGGCAAAGCAACTGCACCTTGCAATGGTCAGAATTGGAAACGTGCCTCCTGGGGAACGTTCTCTCTCTGGACTCCAAGGGGAGGACCAAAAAACCCTGTAAGGTGGAGGGAAGGATCTTCTTCAGAAACCATGGCTATGTTTACTCCACGGGCCATTGTCAAGTACAGACCCTCGCGGCATTCTGAAAATCTTGGTGCCCTGGAACCCAACTGAACTGTCCTCCTGCCCATAAACACCTGCAGGATCTAGCTCAGTCCTGGAACCAGCTCAGTAGAAACTGCCAGAAGCGGAGAGGCCGTTCTTTCCAAAGACCTTCGCTTTGCGGCCAGACTCACTAAGTCAACAAAGTTGGAGCCAGCCCCGCTGCTTGCCTTCCTGTCACGCCCTCCAACTTCTTCTCCCTGGCCTGCCACGCTCACACACACGTGTACACACACACACAGACACAGTCCTCTGGATCCAGCATTCTGTTATTTGCGTGGGGAGTCTGCCTGGGAGAACTGGGAGGCAGAATCCAGACAGGCTACAGCCAGGGTCTGGGGTTTTCTCCTTCTCCATATTCCAACCATCTTATGGAAGATTGGGTCCAAGAAGGTAAACTCTGGAAAACCAAGGGCAGTGCAGCACCAAGGTATTTACTTAGCCAATGAATGTGCTTCCGTCTTCCTGGAAGGCAGTCTCAAATTTCCTCAGTGCAGTGGAACTTTGCTCAGTCCAGCCAGTCACTTCTATATGTAGGAGTGGTCGCCTGCAGCCTTTACGGTCAACCCACCCAGCCACTCAGGTATTTGAGAACAAAGTGAGGGAAGACTCACTCACCCGCTATACCCTCCTGGGGTCTCATGATGACCAAACTGTCCCCACGTTAAGCACAGCACCAAACTAATTTAGGGGTAGAGTGAAAGGGTGCCTTCCCTCAGAATTTCCCAAAGGGAAGAAAGTCATAACAGACAGAAACACACTGGAGCCATCAAAAACCCCCACAAAATTACCTACAGAAATTATGAATGGCATGGTTCTGTTTCTTCTGCTTCAGTGCCAAAATTGAAAGATTTCCATCCAGACAGAACATAAAAACAAAAAATTACCAGCACTCTGCTATTAATCAACCCATGATACTTGAATTTTTCTTTTAAGTAGGCTCCACGCCCAGCAGGGAACCCAGCGACAGGCCTGAACTCATGACCCTGAGATCAAGACCTGAGCTGAGATCAAGAGTCAGACGTTTAACCAACTGAACTACCCAGGTGCCCCCACTCCACAATGATACTTTCCATACACCATCTCTGCCGAGCTGATGACCTACATCCCCCGGCCCAAGCAATAACTTGTTCTC